AGCAAGGGTCAGCGTTCTTCAAAAACTCTTTGCTGAAATTTGAAGTCTTGGATCTCGGCCCCTTCGACTTTTCAGTTACTTCAGACACCCGCTAGCGGAACCCAGTGACGGTTCGTAAACACGTGTTCAGCGTACGGAAACAGCGATTATAGAACAGCAGAGACAAAATGGGCAAAGGAGCAATGTCCCCTCGCTCAGTTTCAATATATTCAATTTTCTAAAGCTATCCAGTCGACAGCCGGTTACCCTTTACGACCCGATGGGGCGCGTATTCGAAAATATATTACACACCAACACATTTGGGGGCTCCTCTGATCTGGAGACAGCAGAACGCGAGGGCCTCTGCGACAACACATACGTGAGAGACAAGGGACAAACAATCATGCCCTAGGCGGGACACGGACCCGCGACCCTTGAGACCGAAGCGCTGAGTCGGTTCAGGGGCTTAGCCACCTCGGCCATACAAGACGGCAGCGACATAATTATAGATGCAGAACAATGACACCATTTTAATATTGCATGAGGGAATATAGTTAGCAGTAGGCTCTGCCGCCAGTCAGGAAGAAATTCGATACAAAATCGACATACAGTTTGCGTCGAGTATGAACAAGCGTTAGTGGTTTTACTATTTAACGCTCATTACGGAGACTTTTTAAACCAAAGCAACGCAACCTCTGAACAGTCCTACTATGGAGCTAGGAGCACTACATATGCATTCTTAGCTCAATGGTGCCTACCATAATGCAAGGTATTGCATCACAGAGTCTAAATAGACAGGGACGTGTCGCTGCAGGATGAGAGGAAACGAGACTGATCGCGGGGCAATGTTAATGAATGCTTGAACTAAGATTACAGTTCGTTTCACGGTAGTGGAATGTTCATTTATATTTCCAGTTCAAAAATACACAAACTTGAGAATCAATTTTATAATGTGGGAAATATTTACTTATCTCGAGGAGCAGCCACTGACAGAGCTCGTCACAAATTCATCAAGTTTTAGTTAGAAATCTCCCGAACGGCAAAACTAGAACTTACTCCTGTGAATTTCCCAAGTTTCAGATCAAGAGGTACTAATCCGAGGGACGCGTCCATCTACCAATTCGTCGGACCGGACTTCCCAATTTGGGATTATCAAACTGCGTGCATCTTCTCGCCACTCGCGCCAATCTTAAGCATCGTTGAAACAGCACTAATGGACCTTAATCCGGACTTGTTAGACAAAGTTACAGCACAAAAGAACCCCCAACACAGATTTTAAAACCGAAAATCCGAGATTATATTGTTGGGGTGATTCTAATTCTTTTCCTTTTTAGTATTGGAAGGAAAAGGAAAGGAATGCCATCAGAAAGTTTAATTTTCATCCGATGTGAAGGAACTGTGAATTATTTGAGAATCATCACTGTCCGCAGTGCTAGTTTCTGAAGGAAATCTGCGACAAGCTCAAGAAAACTATTGGGTCATAAAATTGTTCTAATTGTCCTAACCATCACAACGAGGCTGTTGCAGAACCGCTAGTAGCGTTAGTCACTTGATTTCCGACCCCTTGTTTCACGACAGTTATTTATGACGGAACTCCAGTTGCGGGAGAGCACATTACCGACCACTGATAGCGAAATGAACGTTTTTGGCCCTGAATATTCAAAAAACCTCTCGATATCTCGAGCTTCCCCCAACACGGTCTAATAATATCACAGTCTATTATTATACGCTAATTTCTTTAATTTAATTTCCTTTAAATTACAAAGTACTTCATCCACATGAGGCTACAGGCCCCTGCAAACATTTACAAATGCTAAACTTTTCCAATGCAAAATGTTAATTTACCCGAGATCGCTAAAACATTGTTCATATCGACCATGTGTATACCGATGCATGAAACACATGAACCCTATGATTTCGGAAGAAGAAACTCCTGTATGTAACGTAATAAATTTAACTTTGCGTAAAATAAAATTTAAAAAAACTTGTTTAACGATGAATGGGAGAAATGAAGTACCGATCGTGGTGTATAACACTCGTTGATGTATTTAAGATATTTTGACATGTCAATGGATATTGTTCCAGCATGAGATATATCTTATTATTCTTTTAGCCCTGAAAATAAATTTCTAACGTTATTGAAAACTTTGTAGATATCAAAAAGAACTATGTAACAAAACATGATGTTTATTACAACAGAAAGACTTCAGTACGACAATTCGACTGAAAGATATTGTATTTTAATCGATGACAGCGCGTGAAAGGTCGTAAACCCAACTCTTCCCGACTCCATGATACAATCTTTGACACCAGCCTATCTGGAAATAAACATTCCTTGGAAGTTTCTAATGTCACCACTTTTAGTGCCAATTACAAAATGTTTCGTCTATACAGCCAAGGAAAAAGTAATAACGTCCACCTTATTTCCGGCAGCTCCAATAGTTCAGCGTAGGTTTTTAGACAAGCCAATTTCAAGTACGTCAATCACGCTTCACGAGCCCGTCTCGCAACAAACATTTCTAATGAGACGTCCGTTCGGATTGGAAACGGCGAGTTCAGTGACCATCGCAGGGGAGTGCCAGGCGATTTGCGGGCAGGTGCGGACGCGAGTGAGGGCGAAGGCGAGCGGGCCGGGGCAGAGTTGGTGCGAGAAGGAGCGAGTGATGGAGGGGGAGGGGGAGGGGATGGATGGATCGCACGGCATTGTCTCCGCGCACAAAGGCCTGTCGCCGCTAGTAAACACGCGCGCCGGCTGTCGCACAGAGGAGGAGGAGGAGGAGGAGCAGGATTCGGCGCCTCAGCCGCGCACTGGCTCCGAACGGACTGCCACGAGGGCAAAACAAGTAGACGAGGGCAAAGGAACATATACAGAATGTCCCGGGAGGTAACGTCGAAACTTCGAAAAAATAAGATGAATTTATTTGAACTGCAAATGGCATAACCCGGTGGCAGCTAATTGCAAAGCTCTCAACACAATTTTAAACATATTTCGTCTAATACACTCCCAACGGCTGAGCCGCAATAAACACTCAAAAATTGGTTTGAAAAATGCTTTTTAGGCAAAAATTTGCATTGCAGAAGCATATAAACCCCCCCAGAATCATGTAGAGCGTTTATTATTTACAAAAGAATTTAACATATTTGTTTAGAAAGAAAAAAATTAACACAGAAATAAAAGAGCTCCCAGTTTAGAAAATTCGATAGCTTTTTACTTTCCCGTATTCATACGTACATACGGAGTAATATTCATAGTATACGAAAAGTTATGTAAAGCTGCAGGGGAAAAAAAGCGAATTTTCAACAGAAAAAAATATCCATTGACGAAATCCTGATAACGAAAAAGTGGATAAATCCAGTTGATATATTGAGAAAAAATTCTCTAAGATGTGGTGTAGCCAGAATCCCTATTTTATGGGTCCTTGATACCGAAAAATCAATTGACAACAAAACGTCCTGCCGGCGTCTGTCTGGTGTATGTGAACAACACTATAATAGAAAACTAATACGAAAAAGTCTGTGCCATTCTGTATCACCACTCTTGTTTTTAACCTTTGATACATACATGTGGACAAACTTTAAAGAAAAATTCGGAGCAGTTTTTGAGAAAATAATTATTTTAAAATATCCCATATATCACGCAAAATTACGCGAAAACTAAATACTAATATTTTTTAAAATATACATTACTATATATTAAGATTTGTCTTTGAATAACAAATTTCATTAAGAAATATGCTTCTCTTTAATATTGCAATTGCAGGAAAAAGTCGAAAAAAAAAACTTCTGCAATTTTTATAAATGTCAGGAATTTCAGGGAAAAATTACACTCGCACCGTTTTTAAAAAGTTCTTTACGCTATCCGAGGACAAAGATTAATTTTAAAAAATTGAAACCAATATTGAAAAATATTTGAAAAAGTTGAGGTTTCATGTGTAGTACTTCTAAAAAACAAAATATCAAGGGGCCCGTCCCAGATGAATGGGGGAATGCCAGTTTTAGAGAAAATCGTCTGAACGTCCAACGTTTAGGCGTTAGCGGATGGACATTCGTTTCGGTCTCAACTCATTTTTCGGTATCAACGTAGATTCTGACTGCACAAAGTCTAAGATGAAGTACTTTAATAATACGTAAAGAAACTCGATTTAGCCACTTTTTCAATATCAGTTCGATATTAATGTATCTCCAGTTTTTTCCATAATTTTGTAGGGATTTAACATATTTACAGAAATACAATGTTTTTGTATCTCTTTAAAAATTTTACATAGATAATTCCATTGAGTTCACAAACCATCTTCACAACAAGAGAATGTTCCACTTTGAAGTTAGATGGTTTTGAGGTTTTCAATAGAAGTTTGTTCCTGTGTGAAATTGTTTCATTTTTTTCTAAATGTTTCACTTTGTAAGCAGGTACCTCCCCCCCACACACACACACACACACATACATACATACAACAATAACACAGTTGATTTCAACTATGTGTTTTCTTTGAATAATGCGAAATGTAACATTGGTATGAAAACTAATTTGTTACTCACAGAAATTTGAACTTCAACAATTTTCTGTTCCATTCCATGTGTTTTCAGTTGTATTGGTTTTCTGAAATCCAACAAACATACACATACAATTATAAGTTTATTATCTGACAAAAGTTCATGCCAAGATATTCTAAGCACATGGGAAAACAAAAGATACTATGACTGGTGTTTTCTAGAATTAATGTAGGCAGGTTAAAAAATTACCATTATTCTCTGGAAGTATATGGGAAATTAATTTTATAACATTAAGTTTTCTTTTGTTAATAATCGATCAAAAAAATAATTTTTTGTTAATAGCAATAATTCAGTCAGTTTTGTGGGGTAGTCACAGACAACAGGGCACAATCACTAGCTGTGAATGACAGCAGAAACACAAGTATACAAATGTGTAAATAAGAAGACTAGCAGTCTATTTCTCACTTGAGAAATCTAATACATATATAGAATTATTCATTAAATATTTTCCACATAAAAGTGAATTAAATATGAAATCTCAACAAATTGCTAAGAAAGGTAATTACAAACATTCAATTTCATTTTCAGCGGATGCTGACAATCTCTCGGCAACACTAAGTTTGATGGTACCAGAACTCGCAAACGACATTCCTGATAATTGTCCTGGAGATGGCTGCAATGCTAATCAATGTCTGTACATGGAACAGCTACTGGGTAAGAAGTTAACAGAAATTGAAAATATTTAGTATACAAATTAATGTATAAAAAAGTTAATTTATTTATTTATTTTTTTTTTCTTTTTCACAGTGCGCAAACATGAAGAGCCCAAAGAAGGACAAGGAAATGTGTATATTGATCGTGGAAATAGCAAAATGCATGTGTGAAGAACATTCATTGTGACCTAAATTCTGGAGTCCGGAATTAAAATCTGTATTTCAGTGATAGACATTTCACAAAAGAATAAATCAATTGAAAAATAAATTAATTTTAATAGTAGTAGGAGTAAATATGTTTGTTAAAACAATAAATTAGATATTATACATGAAAATTCAAATAATGAATTGCAATATTTTTGAAACTGAATTAATATTGAGATAACATAAATTTAGATTCTTCCAGTATTTGTGGAAAATTGAATTGATAATAAAAGAAATATCTTGATATAGCACATATACATGAGAGAAATATTGTAAAGTAAAGATGTCTCTTTACTTTTCAATATTTGTTCAGAAAGTATCCTTTTGTTAACACTAAGATAAGTGTTACTTTTAGATTCATACATATTCAAAGCTCCTACAATCTCTTAAAAGCAAGAACAAATGTAAAGACAGTATTAAAATAATCATGTTGCTTTCTTCATGGTACAACAGTACAATAAATGAAGTTCCTTTTATCTGTCAAACAGTTTACTTATATGTATTATAGCAAAGGTATTACAATATTTCTTTTATTACTTTTTAGATCTTTGTTAAGATTTATGCAATAAGATTTACATTTAAAAATTTACATTATAAGATGTTTCTTTCAATTACTAGAACTTTAAGGCAACCAAAAAGAAAGAAAGAAAAATCGGTAAATCAGTATTGTAAGATCTGTAGTAATATGTTCATCATACTTTTTCATTTGTAAAAAGCTTGTTGAGCTAGACCTTAGAGTCAGGAACCATCTGAATTAGACCGTATTGAAATTCCATTAATCTACAAGAAAGAAAGTAATTAATTTCTCCATTATTTCTTACTTGTAGTATAATGATAGATCAGAGTGTGAGTTTCACAATGAGAAACTGATGTTTTCATTCTACTTCCATATTATTCATTGTAAATAGTTATTCACAATGTAATAAATAATCTCTCCAGAAACTACACATGATATACTGTATATACTTGAATATAACCTGCATATTTTTTTCAAAAATTGCTAGTTGAAAATTGGGGTGCGGGTAATATTTGAGTTAATGTAGGTACTGTGAACTTGAAGCATGTTGCACGTTGTCACACGGCAGCATGGATTATACTTTGTTTTTTTTAACGTTATCTTTCTTCAATTTCTCTTAAAATATTTTCCACTTTTTTGCATCATCATTACTACTCTATATCCAAGTGGATAAAGTGGAAAATGTCTCAAAAAACGTAAATTTCAGTTTTTTGAATTGTAAATTAAAATCATTATTTTTATAAATTACATACATCCCAACATATCACTAATGTATCTTAATTTTGCTAATACTTTCATAATTGCATCAAGACAACATAATAATATAACTTTTTCTGAAGATGATCTTTTATCGCCTTTTCTGAAAACAAATGAGTATTTAAATTCATAAGCAAATGTTTTAAATATTGTACATGTAGAATATAAAAATATGTAATTATGCAATTGAAAGAAAACCTTTGAGTGTTTTATTACAACTTTTTCAGCATAGTAATTTTTTTTAAGTGATCAAGGCCACTGAATTGTGTATTTAAATCTGTACTTGAATTTTAAAAAGTTTTTAAGATTATGCATTACACGTATATATTTGATTCAAAATTTTTAAGATTTAAGGACTAGTCTGCTCATCAGATAAACATAATATGCTGGACATGACACAGTCTCTTGGTGCTAGTTTAGCCTGGAATATGGTTTCAATGTATGTGGATTACTATACCTTGTAGGATTGAGAGTTTTATTATTTATAGACCATTTTATGTTACCTGCTCTATTGTGCAAATACAATATACATAAAAGAATTTGTTACATTTAATTTGAATAAACATTAATATCAAGCCAGAATATGAAATTATTTTATCACGTACACAGCCAAGATTTAATTTTGGAAGCATGTGAAAAAAAATTCCAATAGTATTTTTGCTAGTGTGCATATATTTGTATGTACAACTTTACTTCGAAAATAATTTCCAAAGTTAAATAGTATTTACATATAACAATTATTGTTACACCAATTTTCTATAGCTTCCTTTCTTTGGGGTACCTTTCATTCCTCTACTTAGTGTGGTCAGGTGAGGAAAATAGGGATAATACTCTGCCTTTGCAGTTAAGGAGGAGACTGAGCACCACGAGTTGGTTATTCCTCAGCTATAAAGTTAAGTATTTGGTGAGGTGAAAAATGAATAACAAAACAACATAGTTACATTACAGTCAGTTAACAGTCATTCTAGGAATTTAGCAGCAACTGCCATTTATGTATTACTATTAAACAGTTAAATGAAAGTAAAATATTTTTTTACATAACAAATGTGAAATATATATTGTTCTTAAATTAATTCCCAAAAGATACAAACTCCAAGACGAACCAGAGATAATGATGATCTTTAAAGAGTGAAAAAGAAGATACTCTAACAGTAGTAAATAAAATGTCAATACAAATGTTTGTGATTGGTGCTTTAGCAAATATAAATTCTTGCATAGGTTACTGGAATTACTCTTATGAAAATAAGCTATTCGCGTATATTTCAATGATAGGAATAAATTTAGATAAAATAAAATAAAACCTGGAGAATTGCAATTAATTGTGCATTTTAATTTTATTTTCTTGTGTATGTACGTATATACAAATTAATAAACGTAGTATACAGAAAGTAATGTAATGGTGCAGAAAATGGATTTTGAGATTTCACTTTTGGGGTACCCAGATATTGAAAAAGTATTATTTTTTTTTTTTTATATGTCCATCCATCAATGAACACCGCTAGTGTCTAAACCACATGTAGCATATTTTCCAAATTTTAAAAAAAATCCTGTCAATATAGCTTGAGTGGAAGCTTTGAGATTTTGAAAAACATTCTTTAAAATTTGGGGGTACTTTACATGAAGCCCCTGTGACATTTTCAATTTTCTCAACAAAAGGCTACAAATTTTTTCTTTAAATTTCTTTTAAGAATAGAGTAAAATCACAGAACAATAAAGGATATTTATTATACTTATAAAGGATACTTATAAAGGTAGGCAGGAGTAAAATACACTTATAAAGGTTGGCATTGGTCTGATTGTCACAGTTAATTCTGAATTTTCAAAAATTTTTAAAGCAATTTTATTTTTGGCGTCTTTCTACAACTTCAAAATTGAAGATAGAGATTTTCCCTTCAAATAACATTCCCCCCCCCAGTCAGTTCTTTCAGGTAAGGTCGTGTACACTTTTTTGAAACTTTAACATTTTTTGCACAATATTAGCAATATAGTTGCAGTATTTTAAAAATTACAAAAACAGCTCCTAATTTTTTCTTTAAACGTTTGGTAGGTATAGTGCTAAATGCACTATATAACATGACAACAATATTAGACGAAAGGGACTAAAGAAATAAATTGGAACTCAAAAAGTAAAACCATAAGAATCATACCTCACCCACCAAATTATTATTGTGTTAATATATTAAAATACATTAGCAAAATTTACATTTTCCCAACTCCCTACCCCTTGTCTCAAAGATTTTACAGTATTTCTGATAAACTAATAATTACTGGGTAAAATTTGGTTGTAATACAATTTTTCAAATAAAATACCAGACCTATTTTGTTATTAATTTGAATAGTCATTTTCAGTTTCATCCTATTCACTAGTGACCTGAAGCAGTAAAAGTTGCTTTTTTATTGGGCTACTTTAAAAATACAAATAAAACAATTATTTTCTGGTTTTTGGAAGAGACTCTACAGAACTGTCAAGGCTTTGGTATTTGTGTTACTCAAGAGTCTTTATGATACACATGTTACTCATATAAGGTATAAAGGAATACATCGGACAGACAACATTAAATTTCATTGTGCAATTATTATCATAGACAATGCTTTGGAATAAATTTTTCTTATATCATAAAATATGATTGTTATATAAGACTAACAAAATACGCTGCATTACCCAGGCTTTCTTTATATCCAATCCTTGTGGAAGAAGGAAAAGATTGATTTTATATAAACTTTGTTGTTCAAGATTATTATTTTTAATGTAATTTTTTCAAATTTTAATAAAATACAATAATTTTCTTTCATTTTATTTACATACAGTACATTGCTACTACATTACAAATTTTTATCTTGCACATTTCTACAGGCCTCTTGTGTATCTATTAGGTACCAGTTCTGGTTCACTGCCACTGGCTTGTAGTGGTCGTTGTAATGGAATATGTTAGGAACTAATCTATTAGGTACCAGTTCTGCCACTCAGCTTCTGGCCTCTGATGAAATATAACAGGAAACAATCTGCATTTTTCTACAGGCAAAATATAATGATCATGGTGCATCTACAAACCAATTATTTCAACTATTTATTTTCTGCATTTGCACTGTAGTAATCTTTACCAAAGTTTGCAAGGACACTGACAATTCTGAAGAAGAGTCTAAAAATTTTGAATCTATACATGCATTAGTTTTTGGCCTATGTCAATTACATGTTATTGAATACACTTACTAGTATAGACTGAGAAACATCAGTAAATTTCACAGTGAAATTGGTATCTCAAAATAATGTTAATAACTATTGCACTCTTTGAAGTATAATATCAGAGTAATATTGGTTTTGAGATGAAACACTGAATTACACAGGGAAACACATGTACAATGAGTTTACAAAAATGTTAATATTTTTTGTCAAGCATTAATGAAATATAAACAAATCGAAATACATAAATAAATACAGGACAATTTTTGCTTCTACTTGCAGCGATACATTTTTTCTCTCTGAATTTTCATTTTTGCTATTTTTTAAATGGCAAAATATTTCATATTGGAAAATAATCATGAAGGTAGGAGCCATTGTCTTCAGATACAATGTGTGGTGATCTGCCAAATCAATTAAAAGAACAGTTCCTGTGGTTCATTCTGTATATTACCACAAGCATAAATGACTAATTATTATTAGTATTCACTTCTAGATCAATACAATGAATTGGTACAGGACAATAGTGTAAAAGTTATTGCAGCTTACACACAAAAACAATTAGAGTTTGATCTGTGCCACAGAAAGAACAGTGAACTGTCAATTAGTAGTATTGTTATGGACACAAAAGAGGAGGATGAAAGTAGTTGTGAAGTAGTATGGACATGATATGAGAAGCTCTGCAATATGTTGAGTATTTGGAACTCTTATATTTAATTTCATAAAAAGAAGTGAACTCAGTGATAAAATGACAGCAGTGGGATGAACATGAGAACACTTTTGAAAGTTAAATCGAAAGTTGAATATAATTGAATTTGAAAGTTATACGTCAAATTTGATGAAGCTGGTCCACGATGCAGCTGGTGAAGAAATGGTTTATTTTGGTGGGCCAAGGAGGTTTGCTAACCTAGAGGGTTGTTGAGAAAAGTGAAAGGGAAGTGATTCACAAAAGAGATAGAACAATAGTAATGTTCCAGGCCCGAGATTGCTAAATTATATATGAAGGTAATTGCAAATCATAATATTTATGCCAAAAATATCAAATGCTTTCGCAAGACCTATGAACATGCTAATACCTTTTTCAACACTTATGAAGGTGCTTCATTTTCATATATCAATGAAGGCACATTTTTAAGGCATACACACATTTCACATGACTTTTTTAAATGCGAAATTTTCAACGAAGATATTGCCCCTAGAATTGATATATGTTGCATAGTTTGTGAGATACGGGCAGTTCTTTTTTGCGTTAAAACTGGGATATTAATATGACCCCCTACTTGCCAAATTTTGCGATTTTCAACATGCGACAGATTCTTCTCAAACCCAGTGTTCTAGCACGAAATTTCTTGGCGAATACACTGTTGTTAAACATATTTTCATATATTATTAATCATTGTTTTTCAGAAAATCGATTATATTCACGATAAATTATGACGTACATATAATCTCCCTGCAAATCTCACTTCTGTAGCTTCAATTATTTAGGACATAGGGTCTATTGAGCTGACCAATGATTTTCAAATTTTCGAAATCTAGAAAAACACATGACTTTCAAAGATATACCCCTAGAGGGCACATTTATTGTTCGAATATGACAAATGAAGACATTGTATGAAACAACATAAAATTTTGGACAAGCATATTGCCTCCAGAATGGATATATGTTGCATAATTCGAGAGATAAATGCAGTTCATTTTTGTGATAAAAAATGTGAAATTTCAACCACTCCCTGCATGTCAAAATTTGTGATTTTCGACTTCTCGTCTTTCTGCAAACCAGTACATAGGTAGAACAATTAACGAGAAATTGAATGGAGCAAACTGGACTCCACCCCGACAAATACGTTCGGAGATAGAGGGGAAAGATAGCAAAACTAAATTTCAAAACCAAACAATATGCCCCCCTGCATTGCGTGACAATTTTAGAAAAAATTAATTTAGTCGCACCTTTCTGAAAACCAGCTTATAAGTAGAACAATTTACGAGAAATTAAATAGAGCAAACCGAACTGCACTTCGAGAAATATTCAAAGATATAGTTGAAAGAAAGCGAAAAAACACCCCCTTGCATGACAAAATTGAAAACTGTTGCTGAAGTTCTTTTTGAAAGTTAGTTCATAGATCATCCAATTTATGAGAAACTGAATGGAGCAACCCAGACTCCACTTCGACAAATACTTTTGGAGATATAGGCGAAAGAAAGCGAAGCTGAAGTGCAAAAACAAATACCCATCCCCAATTATGTGACAAAAGTGGGGGGAAAAAAAGAAAAAGTTTTCATTTAAGTTCCATCTTTCTTCTTTCAGAAAAATATAGTTTTTTTGTAATTACAGGGCTTAATTAGGTACTTATATTAACATAGAACATGCAAGAATGGCCAAGACAAAAGTGGTAGTTTTGTAACTGTTTGTGGTAGTTTACAAAAATAGCTTTAACATTCCAAATGATAAGAGAAGTGAATTTGGTTTTTGAGTAAATCGAAAGGCAAAAATCTTAAAAATTCAGTTCTAATTCTGAATGAAAAAAGTAATAATTTTGCATTCAACTTTGCTCCTCTAAATTAAGACAATGGTATGCCTACAAAAATTTAAACCAGAAAACACCATATCATAAATGGTAACAACCCACAATATTCGATAATGAAACCAATTAAAATTAAAGATTATAAAATAAGGAATGTTTTGAAGCAAATTGAACAAACAAATGTTTTGTCATTTAAGCAAAAGGCCAAATTAAACCAAAAATTGCTTTACAACTTTCTTCACCCTCTATTGTCTGTTGTTACTTTGAAGTAAAAAGCCTATTTTACTTTTTTTTTATTTTCCATCAATGAAGTTTAGACCAATGTACACCATTGTAAATTGAAAGTAACAATATGGCGGCATTGGAAAAAAATTGTGTGATTCGAATTTCCATCGCCAAATATCACTGAGAGTCAGTACACAACCAAGTGACCTATTGCAGAACTAGTTATTTTTTTCACTTGCGTTTACAATGCTTTTTTATGTCCTTATTCTCTCAAAAAAATCAATAGTGTTAGAAGTAATTGTTATTCACAAATATATATGCTTATGTATTAGACAATATTAATTTAGTATATTTAAATAGAAAGTGTTTGTTTTCTTGAAGTAACATTGGACACCTATGTAAGATGACTTCACTCTTCAGGAGGTAGGAATAGAATGCTCCAGTGTTGTGCTGTACTACAATAAATGTATGGGCGGCGTTGATTGAATGGAATTCCAAATAGCATTGTATCACACAAAAATTAGATTGAAAAAATTGTTTATCATCCATCTCTTGGCTCTCAATATCGTTAAATCATGACTACTTTATGGAAGAGATTATGATGCTTGCGGGATAGGAAAAAAAAATGAACCATCCCTACTAGATTTGAAGTCTATGCATGCAGAATAAGAAGATACAGAAGAAAAGAGGATGTCCAACATCATTGTTGGAAAACAAAATTCAGAGTAAAAGGAAATGAACCAACATGCATCATACCAGAGAAAGAAGTAAGGAGGATTAATATAGGCCACTGGCCACAATTTTCTGAAAAAAAAAAAATGAACCATCCCTGCTAGATTTCAAGTCCGTGCATACAGAATAAGGAGATACAGAAGAAAAGAGGATGTCCAACATCATCATTGTTGGGAAACAAAATTCAGAGTAAAAGGAAATGAACCAACGTGCATCATACCAGAGAAAGAAGTAAGGAGGATTAATATAAGCCACTGGCCACAATTTTCTGATGAGGCCACTGCAAGAAACCTAATTACACAATAGTCCCAAAAGTAAAATGTTCAAAACACAGCCTTGCCACCCTTAAATTGCTTTGTTCAATTTCACTCAAAGTATAGTATTTTACGAGTTGTTATTCTCTTACATGTCTAATAATTTTACTAGTAAAAGAAGAAATAAATATGTTTATTGTGTGCAGAGAAGAACATGTTATAATTTTTACCAATAAACTATGTATTTCTCACAATTAAACAGGTTTACTTTTAACAAATGTAGATTTACCCAAAGAATCACTTACTTCTAGACGCAACTGCCCCACGTTACTTCAAAGTAACAAAGTATTTTTGAAATATTACACTTTAAACAAAATTTCTAAAGGTGCTCTAGTGTTTCAAGAAGCAATGTAAGACATTTTGCACATATAAATATTTTTTTAACACAAAAATGAAAATTTAGGCAGTAGAGGGTTAACATAATGTTATATCTTTTTCTAAAAAGTACCTGAGATAAGTAATACCACTTTATAAGATTCTGCTTAAAAGTAGTGACATTTTAAGGAAAGAATCATCCAGATTGATTAATATTTGTTTCCAGAGTGGCAGTTTAAATTTTACATTTTGGTTAAAGTCTTTCGATTCAGCTGTTAAAAGATTCCAGAAATTATATAAACATCTGTTGTTCTACAATTACAGCTGAAATATAAAAGTAGTTTCCAGAAATCTACTTCAGAACTGGGATTTTTTTTTACCAAAAATTACTGATCGAACAAACACTTATAATTAAGAAATTATTATATGGGACTCCCATCATGGTAGGTCAAAAGCATGGAGAAATACAGTAATTGTTATATTTCTCCATGTTTAAACTTTCACAATATATAATCAGGAGGAAAAGTACCCACATTGTCTTCCTTCTCTTCATTTCTGAGAATATTCACGTTCAATCACTTCCCAATTATCTTAAGTAAACGGAATTGATTTTACGTCAAACTATGATGTATTGTTTCCAGTTCCTCCAACCACGCAACCCCTCTTTGATCGCCGCAGTGTTTGGCAGTTTCTGGTTTCTAATCATTCCTTCATCTTTCAGTCTATCTTTGCACTCCGCTTACATCATTTCAAACCTTCAAATACTGCCTCTTCGACACACTTACACACAACACCAGGGAGCAGCAGTGTCATCCGGAAGTTTCGTCACGTGAACAAACACACGAACAAAAGTAAGTTTGCCCGGGCTTGTCATATTTAAAATTATGATTGGGTTATGTTTTGTGTATGTTTGGCTTCCCTGCTTTATGTTGCGGTCTCAAACTTTCGAACTCGTGTGAGAAATTTCGTAATTGCAGTGTAGCATCGCAACGACAATTCTTGTTTAACATAAACATGAACGATTTGATTAGCGAAGAAATTGTGCAAGAAATGTTGGAGAAGGTCCCTAAAACAACTTCGCGATATGTGTCTTGTATTCGACTAGACGGCAGTCCTATTTTACCACCCTTGGTAAGATAATGATTGAGCTAAAATTCTTAAATGAGTATCTTTCTGGTACATAATTAATTTGAACACTTCTTTTCAGATTGATGACAAATACAGAGGTGAATTAACACATTATAGGAATTTGGCAATTTTAGTTGAGAAGAAGATCAGTGACCGAAAAAAGCTGAAAGATAATCGTCACAGTGTTGATAGTGGAGTAATGATAGGTGTGTCCAATGGTGAACCTTCATGGTTAAGGCCATGTAGTTTGCAGCCAGATCGTAAAGAACTCATGACACCGTCTTCATTTGACAGTGACAAAAATAAATCAAGTTGTGGAACACATTGTGTGCAAAGATCTAATTCATCAGATGATACATGTTCAAAAAACTTCATTTGTGATCATGATGTGTGGAGATATATATCCAATTGTGATGAGCATTTCTGTACAGCTTGGTTTGACCATCAAAATGAAGAATTACTGTCAAATTTTGATCCTGAACTTATTGCAAATTCTGGTAACCATAACTTTCCTGAAAAAATTACTTCCAGTTGCAATATTAATGCAGTTCCACATGATGAATTTTATACCAAAGAAGGAAATAATATTTCCAATAAATCAGGAAATTCTGTTGACACTGCAAGTGATGAAGTAAATAGGCTGAGTGTGTATTATGCAGAGTATCATAAAGGTATTAATGAACAGAGCTCTCATCCTAAAAACACAGACCTTAATGAAAAACACGAGACGAATGTCTGTGAAATGTTTAATTCTTATAATTGTGAAAGAGTATCTCAAATTCCTGGAGGTAATTGTAATGTTTTTGACTCTCAAATTATTACAGAATCTGATTATTTAAATAGATGTGTGAGTGATGAAACATCAACAAATTGTGTAGATGATGGATCTGAAAGTGCTCTTAATGGTGAATCAGAAATATCTGGGTATGAACAATATTTTGTAAACTACAGTGCAATGTCTGACAGATTTACTAACTTGAATTGCTCTTTTAAGAGCAATGTATCAAAGGATCTCTCATCTAGAGAGAATGATTCATGCAATACAAATAAATCTAGAAGAGAACTGAAATCTTCATTGGGAACATCATTAAATAAAGCTGATGTTGTAAATCAAGAAAGCTTAAGAGCCGAGGTCAAAATTAATTCCACTGACGAGCACTGTCCATTATTAAAGCACATTTCAGGGAACAAGTTATCTAGTATCAAAATCAGTTGTAGTTCAATTTCATTACCAGAATACCCTTCTGGTCTTCCAACACATGTTCTTGAAAAACAAAAACCTGAAAAACCATATAATCCAAAGTACTATGGTGGTTGTAATAGTGTTGACACAGAAAATAGCAAAGAAACCCTGTGTCCTAATATGCCTGAAAACATACCTAGAAAGTGGTTGTGTGAAAACGTGACAAATATTGTAAGTGATGATTCATGTGAAGAACTAAGTAAAAACACTGCAGCAGGAAGTTCACCATTTCTTGAAACTTCTTTGGCTTGCCAGAAACACAATTTAGATGTGCCATTGTCAGAAAGTGTTTCAATTTCTGAAGTTGACTTTCATACTAGTTCTGTTGCAACTATTGCTCCAGACACATCTGAAGAAGCTAATGAGTTACCCAAACATTCCTCTGTAGAAAAAGATGATGAGTTAACACCACCAAAGTTGGTGCGTCAAAATTCATATACTTTGATAACTCCAAGTCCTGTTTTGCTGGCTCATGCTAAAGCAAATGAGAAACAAGAGGAAAAAACCTCTTCTGAAGATGACAACCATAATAACCATATTCAAACAAATAAAAATGAAGAACATGACAAAGCAAAGGGAGACTGGAATTCAAAAAATGAAGTTAAAAATGTTTACATTGCTCCTTCTGAAAAATCTCAAATTTTAGCACAAAATGTTAAAAACTCTGATGCAGCACAAGCAAAAGGAAATTGTAGCCAGAGAATTAAAAATATGTCCCTTCCAGGAAGTTGTGTGTCTAGTCCTGTAAAAGTAAGTCTTTTTCATAGTTCTCTGGACAATCTTCCAATTGTAACAGTGAGAAGATTTCAAGAACTTATTGACAGTCAATCCATTCAGAATCAACCATGTGAGTCTTCTAAAACAAATATTTTCACTGCGGAAGGAAATTCATCAGGAAAAAACACATTGAATACTAGATCATCTTCTCTGGATCTTGAAAAGTTTAATGAACCTGCTGCTGACAGTAGATTAAAATGCAGGTCAAAGTCAGACCTACAAGATTCAAAGTGCAAACAATCTACTATTATAAATTCTCCCTGTACAGAAGGAAGTGGAAAGTCCAAAAAGGACGTGGAAATTCTGTTCCGAGAAATGTCCTTTGACCCTTCTCCATCAAGTGTATCACACCAATTGGATGTTAATTATATCTCAACTCCAAGAAGTAATCAAGGCAATCAAACTAACCTTGATAATATATCTCCTGGTTTTAGTTTAGGAACTTCTGATAATCAGATCTCTGATAATATCTCAGAAAAAGAAGTTATACCCATGTGCAATACCTTGCCTCTTAATGATTCTACTGTGCAACAGATATTTTTACAGTTACAGAATCAACATAGTTTGTTAATGGCTCAGCTTTTAGATCGACAAAAGAAGGAACAAGAGGCTCTAGCAAACACGTTTTTGAACCAACAGAGACAAATTCTTCAAGAAATGAGACTCATTCCTACACCACCTATGCACGAGCAATCTCCTAGTGCTAACTCTGATACTGGCACAAGCAGTATAGAGAAAAAGTCACCTTCAGCACCACAAGAAATTCATACTTTTGGTTCGGTATCTGTAGGATCCCACCTTTCTAGTCCTTTAGAAATGCCACTACCAAGTGGGAATTCAGATCAAAGCAGATACAGTAGTAATGGTGAACATTCAGAAACAACACATCATTGCCCTAGAGAATTAGAATTTACAAAGCCTTCACCAGTATCTCCAAAAGCCAAACCTCGTGTAACTGAGGAGCAAATAGTATGTGGTATTTATTATTTTTTGTGTCATAATTTGACATGTTTATTTTCTAATATTATTCACTTCAGCATAAATTATTTTTAACAGAATGCAGCTACGGCTATAAATGCGGCTGCTAGAGGTTACCTTGTCCGTCGCCTGCTAAAAACAGAGCATGTACAAGAAATTATTAACACTATATCTGAGTCAGTACAGTGTGCATTGCAGTTACAACGAGAATGCCCAGTAGACATTACACCATCAGATGTAGAACTTCATAGGCGGCTCATTCAGCAAGTAGGTATCTAATTAAAATACTAGAATTACTGTGTGGGTGAAAGGTAAGAAACTTTGTAAATTAGCAATTGTATCTTCTTGAAAATATTCATAATGGACTGTAAGCAGCAGAAATTTCTCTGTTTGAATACATTGCTAGCAAAATAACTTGTGTTATAAATAATTTTCCTTCCAGTTAACAGCAGCATGCTATTCTCTTCATGATACATTCTTTGCCTTAACTATTCAAGAGAAAATGACCATAATCGCAAATGACAGAGAAAGACGACGGAATCCTGCATCTAGGCCTGTATCAGCCAGAACTTCCATTTCAGCTGCGACTCAGAAGTACATTCAACGCAAACAGCAACAGTAAGTCTGCAGAAATAGGAAATGGTGAACAGAAATGAAATGGTTATTCTTCTAGAATATTGTGATTCACATTATAGTAGTAGGTTGACTATTTAGGTTAATAATAATACATTTGAAAAAATAGAGCTTTTATCTTTAATTCAATGACCAAATACTTCCAAAATATCCTAGTGAGAGCTAGCTAAGAATTGTGCCAATTTACTTGTTTAGGGAGGAATTGAGTGAGGTACTGATCTATAGTTGTTGTAAATTATCTAAAACACATTTTAGTCGCTTATAAACAGAAAAAAAAGAAAAGAAGGGGAAAAAATAGAAAAAACACACACACACAACAACAAAAAGACATGTCTTGGAATCTTCTGGATGGATCTGCAAACAAATTATCAATTAAAGATTGAGATCAACATCTCATTTGTCTTGATTGAAAGACTGGAAGTACTCTAACCATGATGACAAACTGAAACAACAGATAGACGGATGCAGGTTACTAGATTACTGTAAGAGGATAAACAATGGACTTTTCTTCTCATATCTCAAAATCCTCTGTGGTTTTTTATTTGCTTCCCCCCCCCCCTATAATTGAGAATAGTTATTATATAAAATAGTGCAATGTGATCTCATAACTTGTGTTAAAACAAATGCACTACATTGCAAACATTTATAAGGTAGATGATGTGCATTTTAGAAAATTGAATCTAATTTTCAGATCTTCATTGAATTTTGTCTTTACAGTAGTGTGTATTATGTTCTAGTTCGTATTTGGACATGCATAGAAAAATAAAGGAAAGAATTGATTATTTCACCTGATAATGATTTTAAAATTTTGATTGGTTTTTAAAATTCAGGAACTCTTTACCCAGCATTGATAAAATATTGGATTTTATTTCTGAAATGTCACTTTTCTACTGATTGTTTTTCTGCCTATTATTAGCACTCATGAAATTTTATTTTACAGAAATCGGCTGTCTGAGCGACCCGCAACAAATACACGCAGGAGTTGGTGGCGCCACAAAGCTCGAGCATGCTCTGCTGGTGAGGCACCGAGTTGGCTTCCCCCTCAGTATCCTGCATGTATGCTTTCCTCTCCACATCCTTATCGATATGTGTTGTCACCAATGTAATTCTCAAAAAAGGTTGTAGACATTGCTGAAAAATGTGGATTACATGCTGATCTGATATTTTTTATGACTTGATAAATTAAACAATTTTAATAAAATGACATTCTTTGCTAAATTAGTGTGTGAACCCTTGTACAGTTCATCCAGGAAAGCTTGAATTGGTTGTTGTAATTTGTTCTAGACTCATTAAAGAAAACTTTGGAAATTCTGTTTCAAGTTGCTGTTATTCTGTAGTATTCACAATTCTGTTCTTTCTGCCTTCAAGACAACTGTAATTAATGGATTATTTTTCTTCCTAGAACCCAGAAAAGGTTATACATTGATCTGATTTCTGTAAGTTTGTTGGGATGAAATGGAGTAAACACATTTGTGTGTATGTTTCTGTGATAATCAGAATGAAATAAAATAAATATTCTTTGACACAGATCCCTCATTTGGGAAGATCATCATTTTCTAGAACCAAATTTTAATATACATAAGATCAGTATATATTTCAAACTGTATTTCATACTTAACTCTTGTCTTATACCCCTAAGTTGGGGAGGGATTAGCAACAGAGCTTGGATAGAGAAATATTGCTAATGTATTACAGGCAAGCAGATGGACCTTAAAATGTCAAAACTCACAAGAGTTTCAAACGTGAATTTGTGAGATGTCATTCTTCCCTGGTTGTAAAGCTATTATCCCAGTGATGGTTATGCGATTATAAATCACTGATATATTTTATGTCTGCCATCCCTACACTGTGTGATCTTTTATGGAGCACAATTGGGCTGTAACTATTAGATAAAACAGGACCAATAGAGGGTGCTAGTGGAGGTTTCACGAATCTTGGTCCTCAGCCTATTTCATCCACTGGCGCAAAAAAGCTTTGAAAGCCATATTTCTAAACACACACAATCAAAATAGTCACACAATATTTTACACAATTCTTTTCCACAGACTCAAGTAAATATTTTCAGAGCAAAAAAAAAAAAAAAATAATAAAAGAATGCAGTATTGCCCAATTAATGTACAGCCCTTCCAGTGTTTAATAGTGCTTACTAGTTTGTGTGTGTGTGTGTTTCAGGGCCATATGAACAATCATCCAGCAGTTATGCTAAACAACCATTCGTAACTTCCAAACAGCAACAGAGCAATAACAGGGCAACACGTCGACCTTGGCGCTAATTTGAATGTAGATTTACTTTTAAAACTTGTGATTGTAATAATGTAATGCACTTTCGATGTTGTTACCTCTGTTTTCTGTATTCAGTATTGTTTACCTCTTTTAAAGAATTGTGTGATGACGTTTTAAGTATCAAATAGTTATCAAGTCTAGTCTTGCACCAAAAACTGCTGAATGTAGATGGGAACATGTACAATTTCCATTCTATAAACCATTTTAGCAAATATTGAACATAAATAATTTTATTGATAATTGATCAGTGAAATATTCTATATAATTCCAAGAAAATAGTTCAAGTTTATACAATGAATTGAAATGAAACATCTTTATTGTTTGCTTTGAGCATTAATTACTAGGATTATTGCTATATCATTAATGTGCCTGTGCTTGTGTGTTGGAGATATTGTAGTAAACCTCAAACACAGCCTTAGAATTTGCCTTACAATTGAGATTATATACCCTTTGTTATATTAAGAAATGTATATAATTCCCTTAAAAAAATCCAATCATTAATCAAATATATATACATATAATTGTTCTCATTGAGGTTGCAATTAAGTACATTGAAATCATATCCTTCCTAACTAAGCTTCCAGATACTCTGAAAAGAATACTCACAATGTTCATAAAAAAAATGCATCATTTCATTACTTATGTAACTTTTATTTAACTGAGCACAAGTAACTTATGTTTTTATATTTTTTAATTTTATAATTTCTTTTGTATTGTCATTATTATACATTCAATTCATTTTTTACTCTTTCAAAGTTATGTAAGGTTAGATCAGTGAAGTATTAATGTTGCTAAGGAATTAATATTTTTGCTACCATATCGTTTAAGAAACAAAGCTACTTTATATTTTTGCTAATATTGTTAAAATAAAAGTAGTGAATAAAGGTTTTAAAGACTGTTTTGTGTTTAATTTTTCCTTGTCTGTCTGTTTTCCATTCTATTGAGTAAATTCTGAAATGTAAATGGTACCTTGAAGATGTTAATGCAAAAATTGACTTTATTGGCTTCTCATTTTGTATCTTTCCATGCACTAAAATCTGGCTTGGGTATGATCGATGAATTACATGAAGTGAGAGGATTCCTATTGAAAACAAAGAAAAAAATTATAGTAATTGCAAGTCCAGTAATTACAATATGAAAACAATGTATGGATACATTTCCTAAAAAATGTCCCAGACTGCCATGTTAAAAATACACGCAAATTACCACTGTCATCCTGCAAGTCAATTGGTATTATTTTATTAATTACACACCAAGTTCATCTGAAATTTCATAAAAAATATTTAACATTTATTGATTACTCAATACTATTTTACACAATTGCCAGTCATTATTTAGTCTAGATTCTTCTAGCTTTTGTAAAACTAATTTAAATACTATGGAGCTTTGCACAGGGACACTGCTAAAAGAATGTAATATTTTTGGAAACTTCTTGAGAGGATGAAATGCTTTCTTTACTAGATAAAATGTCTTAAATTGATTTGAACTAGAAATTACAGATAGTAGTTTGAAAGACACTGACTTGGACCTAGTCCTGTAAGATGATGTTAATTATTTGTTATCAATAGTTTTCTGTTAATATGGAATTGCCAATGTCATGAAGAAGGATAAACAATATACGAATAACAAATATTATACATTAAAATTTGAAAATTGATTTATTTGAATGTATGAAGATGTGTACTCACTTGTCGGACACCTTAAGAAAAGCTAAAGGTTGCATTGTGTTTATTTCATCTCCATGATCACATATTAACCGAGAAAATGTTGATTTCTTGATTTCATTTACCTGAACTTAAAGAGCAATATAATGTTAATGAAATTCAATACATCTTTTTACTTTATTATTTTTTAATAATATTTACCTGTTGTAAAAGAATGCTCAAATCCTCGAAACTCGTAGAAAAATCTATCACCCATCTTCCACCTTATAAATTGATCACCTATGAGACATTGAAATGTAGGTCCCACCAAAGCACCAGGTTTCGGACGTTCGAGAAGTCCTCCTACTGTCAAGTCTATATCATCGGGATGCTTATACACTCTTTTAAGTTTCTCAACGTCCTATTCAAAGAAGCAAAGAAAGACAAAATATTTTTATAGATCCGAGTGTTTGTGATCTTGTGCAACCCAAACAATATGCCACCCATACTTCTCTTTTCATAATGGCTGTTAGGTCATCATGTGTAGTGATATTTCCCACTTTACATAATTTTTGAAAGGCTATATATGATGCTAAACCATAATCACGATTTCTGACTATATCTGTAGTTAGAAGATCCACTCCAAAATCCTTGTGTCCTCGAAAAAGAAGATCTGAGACCTTAAAAATACGAATTATTAATGAAATTATGTTCATAGTGTTAACCAATACTTTTTCTTGAATTTGAAAGATAACATACCTGTTTAGTATGATGATTATCATATTTTTGAGAGGATTGTGAAACTAACCCAAGTAATAAAAAATCAAAATTTTGCGTATTTTCTTGAATTATGGAAGGTCTATTAAACCACTCACTTAAGATTATTTCTCTCTCTGGTTTTCTTTCAGAATTTTGCAACCTACACATTAATGAAATTTAATAAGTATGCAGAACAAACACATTGTATGTTCTAGAAAGAAAAATCAATTATTCATACACCACACAATGAAATAATAAAGAATCTATAAATTTAAAATTAATTGTAAAACCTAATTGAAAAGGCCATTTTTGCAGAAGAAAGCATTGTGTTGTACGAAATGTCAACTTAATTATATATAAGAGAACATTGAGTTTGATTTCTTTGCAGCAAAAAAATTGTCACTTTTCACCAGCTCTAAACCTTTTCTAGAGAAGGGAGCTGTGAGCCGTGCTTCTGGAATGTAAACCTTCATGGATGTTTTTGAACACATTATGCAGTTTTTATATGAAGAGATAATCAATAAAAAAACAACTAAATAAATAAGTAAAAAAAAAAAATTAAGAGATTACGTGTACCAATAAATGGCAACACAATACTGCTGGAAAAATAGCTGAAAAGCAGAGAAACCTCTAAAAAAGTGACACAACACATCAATGGTACTAAGACAGAACTTGATAATATGTCAAAAAGTCATTATTTTGTTTCTTTAATTATTGAAATTTTTATTATCTCGTGAAATTTTACCATGTTCTGCTAGTTGTGCATTTACTTTTTAATGAACAAGCCATGTTATTAAAAATAAAATCTTAATTTTGGCAAACTAACCATACCTACTAACTGGAAAACATCTAAAACATCAATGTTTTTGACATATCAGGTTGTGCTCTAGCACTACAGGTACAATTATTGGATATGGACATGATGCATGCACAATAACTGAAGGGCCAACATAAATTGATGTTTGAAAACAGGATAGGTACCTACGTAAAAAAGCCCAGTCTAGTTAAAAAGCTTTGGTGAAAATGAAAAGCAATAAACGTGATTGGAAATGAAAAAACAAGACAACTTTGAAGCTAAATAAGAATAATTTTATATCTTAACTACTAGTGCTACAGCACATATTTTCTCTCGATATTGTTAATGGTTATGTAATATTGGTTGGTCGGAATCTGGCGGGTCACGGTTCCTTTAGTATTCAGGTGCCTTGACGTCCATCTACCCGCCAAATGCTTTTTTCAAATGAGTGTTCGTATAAAATGCGTTGGGCAGACTCACGGATGTTTTATGTTAACGCGAGGGTCGAAGGCCGAACCTTGTCCTCAACTTGGACGCGCGTAGCGAAGCGTCACAATTCCGCGTGCGTGAACCGTGACACCGCCAACTTCCGATTTACCATAATATTACATGACAATATCTGTCGTACACTTCAACTGCCACTTGAAAAATTCTTAAAGATTTACATTAATTTAGTAATAATAATAATAATAATAATAATAATAATAATAATAATAATAATAATAATAATAATAAAAACAAAAAACCTGTATGTGACAGAAGATCACCTGCGCACGTTTTCTTGAGTTCCAGAATCTCTTCCCATCATTTTAACTATAAATAGTTGAAAGATGAGTAAAAGTTTAAAATAAATAAATAAATACATTTAAAAAAAAATTAAAAAGCGCGAGATTAGCAATATTTGAAAAAAGTAGATATTTTCGTTCCCAAGTAACAGAAAACTTATTTGCATTGGTAAACGAATTGCAGGTATGATTTTTCTGCATTACTAACAAAAAAGTAACTCGTATTTACCTCTACTCCTACCATTAGGAGCAAGCAAAAGGAGAGTTCAACAAAACGTGCGCATATTGAAGCTACATTTACGCCCAGAAGCAAAACAAGGGGCCATCTCAGCGTTTGCTCAATGGTTCAGGGACCATTGTTTTTGGTGAAATTTCTTTGTTGGATAGTGTGAAGGACGTTTTAGAGAACGGTGCTGGTATCATTTTCGTACAAAGTAGACTTTTTTCGAAAATTCAGATTCAAATCAAAATTTTTTCAGAGTCTTCCTAGAACTAAGATATTGAAGACAGAGTTTTTTTCCTTAATGAAATCTCTTCCCTGAAGAAAATCTTGAAATAAGGTCATGTACAATTTTTTGAAAATTTGAGTACTTCTAAGTAATTTTGCGTAAAAGTATGGGAGAAATTACGTGCTGTTTTAGCACTACTAGTTCGTGTTTAGAATGCATACGAATTATAATTTTATAAACTATTTAAAAACTGTGAAATTTAGAAACTTATCTCGTCAAGCAAAGTGCGATATAAAAGCTCGCGGTAAACCTACATCAGTATTGAACATATGACAACGCGTTTTCTAATTTTGCATGCAGCTCCCTCATTAATTAAAGATACCATTCGCCACTGTTTAAAATTAAAAATGTGCCCAAAATTGTCGCAAAATTATTAAGAAGAAATATTAAGAATTAAGAAGAAATAATTAAAAAGAAATATTCGTATTTCGAAAAATTGAACATAATCTTGTTTGAAGATATATTTCTGATAAACATAGTTCATTAAAAAATTATCTTTATAATTGTAATTGCCGGAAGACTTGGAAAAAAATGAAATTTTTCAAATTTCAAAAAACAGGGATTTTAACGAAAATGAGACCTGCACCATTCTCAACCGTCCTACACGCTAACCGCGTCGTCAAAATTTAATAAAAATGGGTGTCGTTTTTTGAGAAAAAAAAATGGTTTAAACAAAATTAAAAATTGCCTGTATTTCACACAATAAGCACTCATTTTTTCGAAAACTTGTACATGACCTTACTTCAAAATCTTTAAAGAATAGATTTCGTTCCGGAAAATCTCTCTGCAATATTTTAGTTGTAGGAAGACGCCGAAAAAATGTTGAACTTTCACAAATTTCGAAAGAATAGATATTTCAACAAACATCAGACCTACACCATTCTGTTGAGCGTCTATTACGCTATCCGACAACAAAATTAAATTTAAGAAATGGAGAACTTCAAATTCAAGGAGCCGCAGTCAGATCGATTGGAGAGTATCAATTTTGGAGAAAATCAGCTGAATGGTTTAGCCACTAGCGTTGTTCACAGACGGACGTTTTACTGTCAATCCATTTTTCGGTATCAAGGACCCATAAAATGCGGGTTATGGCTACACCACGTGTTAGAGGACTTATTTCTGTATTTAGAAACTAGAGTTACTTTATCGTTACTAGGGCCGGGCAATGTGAACGTTTAGGCCAAAAATTGTCGTTTTCCCCAGCATCATTACTTGCGTAAGCAGTGGAGAAAAAGTAAAAACCAATACCAAAAAACAACATCAGAAAATATGCTTTAAAAACCGAGTTCATATATGTAAATTATCTTCAATTTTTAAGATTTTTGATGTTCCATTCATTATAACATGGTAAATTACTGCCATCGAGATTGTTCAAAATATATGTACACTATGGTTTTATTTGAAAAACAAATGACTGCAATATCTCATAAAACCCATATGATAGTAAATAATAAATTATGCATCTGAATTTCATTTACTCAAGCACTTATGTGAAATACGCACTTATGTGAAATATCTTCAATCATTCAAAAATTGCAAAAGGTGCTAGAGTTAAGGCCCTCACTCTGTATAATCAAGTTCATTTATATTTCCAATGTGAAATATTACTTAATTATATTATTTAAACACAATGGAAATGAATTTACAGTTGATAAATAGAAAATTAAAATTTTTACGTAGATACAACTGTATTAAGACCATCCGGTTAAAAACACATCTAAATCAATCTTTACCTGAAATATTTCCCGCACTTTAATGCACATCTATGATGACACTCTATGATTGCACTCTATAACAATATTTTATTTATTTACTCACTGCACTTTTCCTTGAATCAACGAATGTAATCCTCGGAAGGTTGAGGAAGTGAAGCTGCTCAATGTTGCAGGGTTGAGATCTTCGTCATAAAAATCAACAAGACCACTGGCAGAAGGTTTAAGAAAATGTTTTGCCATAAACTCAGCACCTAGGATTACAAAAATCCATCTTATATTACAAATACTCAAAATTACAAATAGCCATATTATATTGTTAGAGGCATACATTATACAATTAATTTTATATTTAAATTGTATTTTACTGAAAAGTTGTTAGGTCACAAAAGGTAATTGATAGTATCAAACCTTTTTTGAAGAACCCTATGTCAAGATATCATAACTAAAAAGTTTCAGACCAGAGTGTTACTTTTTAGTGTCATCTTCAAGGTTCTCTACCTTCATTTCTGCTATAGCAATGTTTATTAATGTGTGTTCTATTTGCACTAGGAATGTGGGCCCATTAGCATATGAACAAAAAAGTCCAAAATGAATGATGAAGAAGGCAGGAGTGAATTTATGTATGAGTTTAATGGGCAATTCGCTCTGGCACGTCCATCAGGGGCCGATAGATGGCAGCCGGGTAGAGAGTAGTGCAAACGGGAAAGAAAGCCCCAACTCAAAAGTAAAGGAGGGTGTCTGGTTTAAAAGGGCTTGTGTTTTCACTAGATTTTTCTTCACATTTTTTCCTCAAACAGAGCAAAGCATTTTCTTGAATACGCCTAAATTCTCGGCTATCAGGGAGACGCCGCGTCGTTGACTGGGGTGCCGACGTTTCGCCTGACATGCCGCAGGCTTCCTTAGGGCAGTGACGAGCCGTCATTGCCCTCGTCACTGTCCTGAGGAAGCCTGCGACATGTCAGGCGAAACGTCAGCACCCCAGCCAACGACGCGGCGTCTCCCGGATAGCCGAGAATTTATGGATTCGAGCCGCGGAAGCTTACGTGTGAATACGCCTAAGTCAGCATTTCATCAAAACAACTAGAGGTACTAAGACAACACTTCTTCCTCACATTATTTCCAAATTTTTAAATTTTCGGAAATTCAGTCATTTCAATTTTAGAAAATAAGATCGTGCTACCCGCCTATTGCCTATTTTAAGATCTATCTTTGAACAATATAATTCATTAAGGAAAATATCTCTATATTCAATTTTCCAGTTGTATGATGATGCCTTAACAGTTTTGATCTTTGACTTGAGTAATTTTTAAGCGTTCTCTACGCCATTGGAAGGCAAAGTTTAATACAAAATTGGGAACTATGTTTCGAGAAAAGTTTCAAAATGTTGACGAGGCTTAATTTAAAGTAAAAACTTCATTTAAATTTTTGATGTTAGGAACCCTCAAACTTTCGACATAGCTTTTTCAGCATTACGTAACTGCTCATACACTACGGCTACATTCGTTGTTTATTTCGAAGGCGAGAAAGTCAAGGAAACGTAAGCGTGGTTCTTGCGCGTGGCCAGGCCAATTCCAAACGAACGTTTTCAGCAAAATCTCCGCTCTTGCCTTCAATCAGTTGAATAACGATTCTCCCAAAAGGGCCGGGACGGCTGGTCATTGGATACTGCGTGTTTCTTCTTCTCTGTTCTATTTACAACCGAAACCACATTCACCGCAACGGGGTACATACGTACTTCTGTTCGAACAATTCTGCTATTCCAGACTCCTTGAATCTAGAGGAAAGAAAAGATGGAAAGGACGGTAAGAAGAAAGACTGAAAAAGTAGGCAAGAAGAGAGGAGAAATGAGGAAAAGAAAGAAGGGACTAGCTTATCGGCATTGCCCCACACTCTTTCAAGCTGCTATCTACCGACTCCTAAGAGACATCTTTCCACATTTTCTCAATTTTTCGGTCCCCCTTTAGCAAACGTAACGTAAGACTTTAATAATATCATAGAAGAGTAAAACTTATTTTAAATTTACATATTCCTGGAAAATTTGGAGTTGTTTTTGAGAAAGTCGTTTCAGTCAATGCGCAAATTTGTGCTTATTTTCGGATAAATATTTTGTGTTTTTGAGACAACTTTCTAATAAATCATACTCTGATACGCAATCATATATCAAGAATGGATTTCTCGTACGAAAACCTTAAATCGATTAACTCACAAAGTTCACACTGCTCTCGAACAATTTAGATTAAAAACATTTCAACTCAAAGTTAGACAAAACCTGCCTATGCTCAAACTCTAAAACCTCTAAAAAATTTGTAGGTACTTCAATGATCGGTCATGCACTATTCCCCTTTAGATCATAGGAGCCACGACATCTGAAGAAAAAGCAAGTCTATTAGGAGATTATTCTTCTAATAATATAAAAAGCCAAATCATATTTAGGATTTGTCCTTCAAAGCCTCACTTTTTCTCGATAAGCAGAATCGTTAAGCGCTCTTACCAATTAACTACACTGCCCCTTACATAGTAGCAGAATTAATCACAAATTCAGAAAACAAGAAATCAGCTGGCATTGACAATTTCTTTGTCTCTGCACACAAAAGTAACTAAATAGTATTGCTTTTGTAACGGGCATCTTGAATGGATGCTTAAGGCTAGATTATTTTTCTAACAAATGGAAAATAGCATTAATTTTTCTAATTTTAAAACCTAACAAATAGCCCAATGACACGGTTAGTTATAGCCCCATAAGTATCTTATCCGTGTTAAGTAAAATATTCGAAAAAACTAATAATAATAGAGTAAATAGTTTACTCTCTATAAACATCATCCTTCCGGTTAGTTTGGGTTTAGACCGAACCATTCTACAGTTTTCCAACTTCTAAGAATCACAGAAGGTACCGCCAAAGCTTGTCATGACAAACAATTTCCAACAGCTGCTTTTCTGCATTTTGCTCTGGAGTTCAATCATGTTTAGCATCAGGCTTTACTACTTAAGCTGCATCACTTAGGAATTCCTAATTATTTATTTAATATAATACGCAGCTTCATTCAGAATCGCACGTTCTCTATCAAATTAAATAATTGCGTTTCAGTCCTGCATAATTCATATGAGTCCCTCAAGGCTATCCGTTCCCTCCCGCGTTGTTTAATACTTTCCTAGCGGATACCCCCTTTCCAGACAACCAGACAACCACACAACGGCACTTTATGCTGGCGACACAGTCATCTACTCAGCAGACTCACAGTTGTCCAAGGCCAATGAACAATTTCAAAACGCACCTCGCATTTTTCAGGAATGAGCATCATCATGGAGGCTAAATCCGAACCCAAATGAATGGGAAGCTAAGGTATTCATATTACGGGGCATCAACAGTTCTCTACACATACGCATTAACTATCAAAAAATCCCTTGGAACCCTTCCAATAAACCAATATCTAAGAGTGCTTCTACACACTAAAATAACGCGGAAACCATATATCTTCAATAAATCTAACAAGACACAAGCAGCGCTCTTCAAGCTTTACCCTTTAATAAACAATCAATCGACTCTTAAAACAGATATCACCGTTTTCTTTTCCAAACTGCCCTACACACAGTGCTGACATATGTATGCCCTGCATGAGGTGGAGCTGCTCCTTCCATACATAAACGTTTCAAACATTTCCACACAAAATCCTTTGCATTGCTGTAAGAGGGCTGCGGTATGTTTCTAACAATCAATTACATAGAGAGTTTTATCTACCCACCATTAACCTTTGCATTAAATATCTATGAAATAAATTCTTTAATTCTGTATCTTCCACTCCTGCAACTAGAATTTTCAAAGTAGGAAAAGCTTATGAGCATTATCCAATACAGAAGAATCCAATACAGATTTACGAAAGGTAAATTCAAATCTGCGTAAAAATAAATGCTCAAGATATTGCTATATTTTCTTAATGTAACATTTGCTTCTCCGATAAATAATATATTCCCTCCTTCTCGATTCCTCGAAATTTTAGAAATATTAATTGATTACTCCAGGGTGAGTGTCCTCGCTAACGTGAAATGCTAGTGCTAAGTTTGCTAATTACAAACTCTCTGGCCACTTTTGTAAAGAGTTACCTCGCCGGATTAAAAATGGTAAAGAAAAAAACTGATGTTGACAATTCGGACAATTCGAATTCTATTGGATGCTGCTTCTACTTGTCGCACGTTAAAACTAGACGAGTGACAGAACTCGTCTTATTTTTTGGAGAGTAGAAGACGCAGCGCTGCTGGTTAATAGGAGAGCGGCAAAACCCATCTAAGTATTATCCACGCACGTTTTCTTGAGCCCCCATTTCACTAGATGCGAGGGGAGTGGGGGGTTTGATTATTATATGAAATCTTTAGCTCGTTTTTCGATGCAAACTATTTTCTATTAGGCAGGAGCAAACACTTCTGGATATCAGAGTTTGTCAACAAAGTTGTTGCTATCATTTATTCTGAATTCAACTAATATAAGTAAAGGAGTGAGGGTAGGTATGCCAGGGCTCAAGAAAACGTGCGCATGTAATACTAGACCCTGGGGAAAATGCCAGAGCCTCCTGTATTTGTGCGGCTAGCGCTTGCGCACACTCAGCGTGCGCGGCGCACACTTCGTAAAATTCTGCTTTTCCCGAGATCACTTGAGAAAATTTACAAACATTATTTTCGCTGCGTGTCCAACCCAGCCTTCCACGAATACATACAGTTTGCGTGTTGCATTGATAGTATCCGTGGATCAAAAGGCCTAATAAAATAAGAGAACGCATTAAACTTATGCGCGGCCGCGATTAGATCGGCCGCAGACTGCCGCTGCTCCAGTTCGAGCGCTTATGAGTTCATCGAGCAGTCGCTGGTTCTCTGTGCTAATGCAAAAATGAGTTAGTAATTGCTGCCAGGAGAAAACGGAGCTGGCAGAATATGTGTATGTAAAAGCAGTCTACTGTCGCCGGGGACCGACGCCGTGATCACTACAGACCGGAAGAAAAAATAGTTTGAAACGTCAAAATATGTACATAAATATGTAAAGAAAATTGAAAATATACAATAAATGTGTAAAATCGGATATAATATGTAATATTAAAATACATTAATTATGAAATACATTTACCTAATACGAAATAATGTTTATCAAAAATTTCCTAAACAAATTTTATCAAGTGGTGCTACAGAATGTCATAGACTTTCCCCCTATTAGTTTTCTATTTCCTATGGTCTCGGCTAGCTATTCAAACTTTCCACATACTCTTGCGTGCTGTCGTCTATCGCCGTCAAAAGTATATTTTTAGAAATTTTCTTAATTTTTCCTTTTTTTTCTACTGGTGTAATGTAAATATTAGAAGAATATCAAAGAACAGAAAAAAACATTTATAAAAACCATAATAAATGGCAATTTTCTCAGAAAAATTGGATCCGTTTTTATGAAAATTGCGCTTAAGCCCTTCAGTTATTTTGAAATTCGAAGCACCTTTTTCACAGAAATTTTTTGAGTTTTCGAAACACTTCATTTGAAGTAATTTGAAACATATTAACACACAAATACAATAGTGTTGACAAATTGTTGCAAATGTGCATATTACCGGCGCGAGAGATATTTCAAGAAAAGTTACATTTGTGTAATTTTTTAAAAGAAAAAAAAAATACCCCGAAATTAACTTTACTTCATATTAAAGAGTGCAATTAGTTTGGAAAAGTATGAAGAATAAAATTTAGATTTTCTGAAAATGATTTGGGCGTTTCTGAAAATGTGAAATTTTGAGCCAGTAATTTTTGAAAAAAAACAACAACAAAAGAATAGAGGAATATGGCATTTATGTCATTTTACAGAGTACATATAGCACTGTACATACCAAAAGTTCCAAGAAAATATTTGGAGTAGTGTTTGAGAAAATCTTATGTTTGGAATTCTTTAAAACTGCATATAATCCACGCAATATTGCGCAAAAACTACTAAAATTTTCAAAACAATGAACACGACCTTAATAGAAGAACTAATTAGGGACAACAAATTTCACCTGAAGAAAAAATGTCTATCTTCAATATTGTAGTTGTAGGAAGACACCGAAAAAGATAGGCAGGGATTTCTTCATTTTGAAAAAAATTCGACGATTGTTTTAGGCGCAAGTAGTATTCACAGACGGACGGACGAACGGACAGACGGACTTTCGGACAGATGGACTTTCGGACAGACGGACTTTCGGACAGACGGACTTTCGGACAGACGGACTTTCGGACAGACGGACTTTCGAACAGACGGACCTTCGGACAGATAGGGTTTTAAAAGAAACTTTCGGTTTCTAGGGACCCCAAAACATGTATTTCCGTTGAAATCTCGAAATCGATTTTCCGCTGCATTTCTTAACTTACCCTATACTACGTATATTACTCTGTATATACGTACGTATACGGGAAAGTAAAAATAATATAAACGTTTTAAAAGTCATTTGGACAACACAACTTAATGCACACAGCTCCATACAACTTTCCCGTCAGTAATAAAAGCTTCATATATAGCTATCCACGACGGTAGATTGACTGCCAGGCTATACAGTGATTTATTTACAACTGCCTTTGACAGGTCATCAGCTGTTACTGTTATACGTCACTATGACAGTGACGTCATTCTGATGACGTCAACCTTCCGATTGCATGACACTGTAACAACTGGTTTATGTTCGAGGCAGCTCCAAATAAATCCAAGTCGACTACAGACCCAATAGAAATCATCGTATACACTGGCGATATCTGCAGCGTGCAGCATTCTCATCAGTGTTAGACGTCGGCGCTAGCCAAAATATCTCGGAATTTAAGGTTAAAGATCACGAAACCCGGCGTCGGGGATACTTTTCACTCCTAAAGGTAAAAATGATCTCAGTCACTGACGCACTCTTTTAGCCCCTGGGATAACTGAAGCAGGACTGCAAGACCATCCAACCGCGTGTTAATGTAGAGCTCATCGAGTCGACAGCATTGAGTAATAATGTAGGAAAAAAATCGGATTTTTTACAAATACTTTTTTATAAAAAAGTATGTATTCAAAATACTTTTTTATGTAAATATGTATTAAAATACTTTATGAATGTATATATGTAAAAATACTTTTTTTATATAAAATAGCGAAATATGTAAAATATGGAATATAGTGCAAACTATTTAAAATTTGATATTGTGTTAGGATGGCAACGATTTGACAATATTATAGTTTTGAAAACAGTAAGTATAAAAAATGTAATTACATAAAAATTCGGCCTCAAGTGATCACACCGCATCGCGTTGTTTGCGTTGTTAACGAGACAATACGTAGGACTCGACACCAGCCCTAAGCTTCTGCTGGCAACGAGGCGATGTCGCAAGCAACACAAAAAAGTTGACAAATCCAGATCAGACCAGGAAATTAACAGCGCAAAGATCAAAAATTAAATGTGTCATTTATTAATTTGTTGTACAGCAAGCGAGCCAGCATAGACATGCTTAATTTTAATAAATTCATATTTTTTTCTCTGCTGACGATTAATTTGTGTCCAATTATTGTGTCTGTTTAATTGTATATGTGCTTTACCCGTTCCTTACTTCATCCATTAGACAATAAAATGGTAATAAAAAATTTAAACTAATGTCCCTCCACCTTGATACAGCACGTCGGAAGAAAGTAGGTTTTGAATACAAAGAACAAAATTTGATGAGATAAAAAAAATCAGGATTTTGACTCTTAGCATTTATCTTACCTACAATAACAGGAAGAAATTCGTTGTAGATAATATGCTGATACTGTCCTATTAAAATTCTTCGAGCTTCTTGATACAATGTTTCATCGTCCCAATGGGGATTTAATTCTGAAAGTTTCTGTGCCAATTTATTGTGCACACGGAGAAATAATATCTGAAGAACTGCTATTTGGGGAACGACATTCACTCGAAAATCTCCTAAAAATCATAAGTTATATATGAGCTTAGTAATTAGAAAAATATTCACACCATAAAAATCATACATTACCTGCCTTATAACAAGTATTTTCAGCTTTGGTGGGTAGAAAGCACTGATCTTTGGGATTATTGGTATTAGGAAGAAACTCTCGATTTCCCATTTTTTGCACTTTCAAGGTTCCTCCTTGAAATGTTCTTAGGGCATCTGCTTGATTTTTATTATTTCCATAAACAAAAGATACGTCGAGAAGATGATTCACCAGACTAATCTAAGCAAAAGTGATATACATTTATATTGATAAGCGACCCTTCGCAAAAAATGTTGCTTATCTGTTCAGCGCCGTATTAAAAACACACACACACACACACACACACGCACACACGCACGCACGCACGCGCGCGCGCACACACACACACACACACACACATATATATATATATATATATATATATATATATATATATATATATATATATATATATAAAACTTTATATTACATTATGCGATTTTAATTACAGACAAGGCTAAACAGCAGTACGGTTTGGCCCTAAAAGATTGGAAAATGTCACAGGGGCTTGCTACACTTTCTGGATAACAAAAAAGTTATAAGAACGCAACACAAGTGTTTATTAAAAACGGACTGTCTGTCTGTCAGTCGTGTGATGTACGTCTAAAATCCTGACGGAACTCGAGCACCAGGATCTCCAGATCAATAACGCTGCAGAGGCAACAGTGTTGTCACTGTGCTATCGCAGGATCCTTAAGTACGCGTTTCCCTTCAATTTATTTGTTTGTAACATTTGCTCTCAATTGTTAGGCAACTCATCATGCACTAATTTTAGGCGGGTAAACGAAATCTCTTTGACTGCATCAAAACGTGACTTGCCAAACATCAATGTGCAACATATTGCCTATCAATCAGAGGCCAATCTTATTTGAGTAACTTCGTTTCATGAGATTTCACACCATCCGTTCGACGGTAAAAAGTTACCATCTTCGAACCCACCCTAAACCCTGAAGCTAGTAAGATTTATTTTAAAACATTTATTCTAAAAGGAAGATTATTTACTTCTATAGGAATGAAAACTAAACTTTTGTGCTCAATGAAATCTGTAAATATTATATTCTACATATCAAGTAAAGTTAGTTAATTTTGAGAAAATTGATCATTCATGTAAGTCAAAGTTTTTAAAGTTAAAGGAATTTCCAAACATTGTTGATGTGGCAGCACATACGGTCAGTGTTACAAAGCAGATTTTTGGTATGTAATGAAACAAAAAGGTGAATATTACTTATAAAGTTGGTTTTGAAAGACTCGATGTGCATTTTCAAACAGTTTAATGAAGAGAGACATGCACACTATAGATGCAAAATTAAAAGCTACATAATTTTCCATTTATTCATTACCATTGCATATTGTACGAAGAAGTATGTGCCACGTAATAATACCACTAGTTATTTATGATAACTAGCTTTTGACAGCTTAGTTGACATAATATGTTGTGCGAAGAGGTTGAGTTTGGGGAGTTAGTCGTCGTCAAATACGCATTTGGCAATGATATGAACGTTATTTAATTTGAACTTATTTCTTTAGTAATTTCATGGTTCCACGAACAGATTACGGAAGAAATCGTCGAAATACTTATAAGAATTAAAGAGTTAGGAATCCCCAAAGGATCACAAATTTGACCATTCTTTGCCACAAATGTTAAATGTTATTCATTTGCCCTTGATGTGACGGAGTAGGCACAAGAATTCAATATCAGGTCAAAAATTTACATTCCAATATTAAAAAATCAGCTAGATTCAAAATAAAGGAGCTATTACGTATATGAATTAAAATGTTTCTAAGTAAACACGCAAAAATAATTGACTCTTCTAATAGAACATACACTAATAAACCATTCTAATAAGTACTCCAATAAAGCATTGAATTAAAACTGCTGACAACCAAAAAGGAAGATGAGAATGTTCCAGCTTAGCGAATATTTCGTTTTACACATTTGGACCCTTCCTTATCTATGGATTGTCAATAATATGAGTACGCTTATTTCAATTTCAAATTAAGAAGTAATAATTATTAAATGTTATGATGAAATACATGTATTTGCCTTTTTTTAGTTTGTCCAAACGTACCTGTTCCCCAGCTGATCTGGTGCATCCGTTGGAATGCGTGTTTTGAGTCCGCACAATGGGCATGCAACGTTTTCCCAAAGGCCCAAAGAAGGTATCATTTTCAGGTAACGGGACGGACAGACATTCTTTGGGCAGGTCAGGCGTAACTGTGTCGTCTGGAGAACAGCAAGTGAATCGCTCGCCATCTAAAAAAGAAGACATTGTTCATTATTACGATAGGCGGGAGATAGAATGCAATCCTGCCTATAATAAACAGATTCCACAAAATTCTTTTTACTGACATACGAAGGTAACAGCAAAATTTAGAGCCATTATTTATGTTTTCTCGAACACACTACGAAGTAAGAGTAATTTATCTAATGCACCAGGAAAAAAGTGCCGATTTTTCTGCAAAAAAACATGTTTGTGACTCCCTAATACTGAATAATGTCGTCGCTCCTTGACATTCAGACATACCTTAATTATTTTACACAGCGCCACTAAGACATTTTCAATATTTTTTCAAAAATTGCTCCAATTGTTTTCTTTAACTAATCGTAAATACATTTATAGTACATCCAATCGAATACAGTAAATTACATTTACAAATTTGGCGCAAGTACTATTTTCAGTAAAATCTCCAAATTTACGAAAATGGCAAAAGTTAGGCTATTTTGTACTGCTACCACATTGGTGGTAATTTTGCTATTTGCTTCTAGCCTTTGACGCGAATGCTAGGAACTGTTCGTAATTCCGCATGCGTCCACTAAATTGGTCTGTATTGCCAGGCACGAACACATAACCACACGAAACCAGTGCAAATAGTTATTTTGCACTATCCGTATGAATGCATTTGTGAACGCATCTACTTGTCAGCACCGAGCGAAGTGGCTCCGGGCGAGCGGGGCGCGCTGACGTCGCATTCGGAAAGCCCGGGTTGAATCCCCGTGTCGGCCATTCTGACCGGGGTTTTTGTGGTTTCCCTAGGTCCTCCAGGCGAATGCTGGGATAGATCTACTGTAAGGCCATGGCTGCGAAACCGACGTCGCGTTAACTACGTCGGATGCTTTAACTACGTGAAGTCACGAATGTTGAGGGAATTCGAGACATGGCGTGCTCCTGGTTGGATGATCGACAAATATGTATTCGGCATTCCCAAAAGCACCTCTGAGCATGCGTGAGCTCGCTAAATCTAGTTTGATTAGGACGTAAATAATCAGATTTATGCAACACAGATTATAATCGCGCGTTACTCAATAAAGATGCATCCTATGCCCATAATAGTAGTTTATGCAATTAGTTTATAATGTTAAGCTTTATTGCATGAGTACATGTTTTGAAAACGAGCGACTTCAAGAGTGAGTTTTCAAATTTGTACGAATGTAATAACGCAACATTATAAACGAGTTGCATACTATATTTTTTGTATAACACTGTTATACATTTATAAGAGAATCAAATTTAATTTTGCGAAACAACTTCCCTGTGACGTCTCGGGTATTTGACATCGTGCGAGTAAACGGTGGTCGGCTGTTCCGTTTACCTCTACTTCCCCCCGATTCTCTCGCAAAGATTGGCTGAATGTGTGATGACGCACTCATTCGTGACATAATATTTAATACGTCATCATTTGTGCCGTAAAATGCCCGATTATGAACGATTTCGTGCAACAGAAAAGTTTCTCTTTTAATGATGAAAAAAAACAACAGATTTTCGTGTCACATTTTTAAGTTTCATGCGGACAGGAGTTTTAGGGGACGCATTCCCAATTTTTCGCGACTCGACACTAACTTTCTATGCGTCCATTATTCATCGATAAATACCTTCACCCTGTCAACCTTTCACACCTCGCTCAACTTATCATTAATTCACTGCGTCTGCCTCCTTCGCATCTCATCTCCAAATATACGACCGTTCAATAATCACATTTCACCTCCCATTGCTTGACTTCCACTATATTCCGAATCTAAGTTTTACTTTCAACTATTTCTAAAAATATGTTTATTAAAATACATTTTTAATATTTTGTATGAGGTATGGATTCCATCATACCATGTTAGTTCTTGGTAAAGTATTACTTTCTCGCTGCGGAGTAGAGACAAAGTTATGTAATGCTGCGTGAAAAACGGCAAATTTTCGGCAGAAAAAACTATTATTACTGGGCCTTGGCAACGAAAAAGTGGATAAATCCATTTGATAAATTTAGAAAAAAATCCACTAACACGTGGTGAAGCCACAAGCTTTATTTTGTGGACCCTTGATACCAAAAAATCTAATGATGGCGAAACGTCTGTATGTCCGTTCGTCTGTGAGCAACGATAGCGGCTAAACCGTTTAGCCGATTGCCTTCAAAATTGATATTCCGCATTTGATTTGGCTGATGTCGCGGCTGTTTGCATTTGAAACCGATATATTAATTAAGGTATTTTACATGAAGCCCTTGAGGTATTTTCCAAATTTTAAAAAAAATAACTTCATCGTTTGTGTTTAAATTTTGTTGTTGACTAGTACAAAGGACGCTTAAGAGCATGGTGCAAGTTTCGTGTTCGTTAAAAAAACAATTTTTCGAAAATTACAAACTTTAAACATTTTTTCGGCATCTTCCTGTAACTACAATTATTAAGATAAAAATATGCAATTTTTTGAAAATTTGAATACTTTTCGCGTTATTTTGCGTAAAACTATGGACAAAAAAGTTCGTGCTGTTTTAACATCACTCGTTTTCATTCGACAGATAGAAAGATTTTAAAAAAACCTTTACCTTCCTTCCGCAGCGACGGGCCGAGCGCAGAGTCGTGGGCAATCAGCTGCCCGAATTGCATGAGAAGCAGAGTGTGCCGCGGGTCGTCCACCTCCCTGTCTTCCAGGAGCGTCGTCCGCACGAGACGGGCGTTCGGGAGCTCGGAGCCGTCTTTCGCCCGTCTCGGGGCCCACACACCTGCAGAAACAGGATGATTCACTTGGGCGAACTGGCTACACACGCACGAGCTGCAATGTATCAGACGAAGTACAAGTCTGTACGAAAATTGTATGTACACTTAACAAATATTTATTGATAGGAAATTATTCTAATAATATGACATTTTAATTATTTAAAAGACTAATTATTTAAAACTGTAATAAAGTGACATAACCCTAGTCAAATTATCATATCGAAATGTAAACAATTGTCAGGGATACTTCGTCTGTTAATTTCTAGGCTCGTATTTGAGTGTTTTGATACTTATCTATAATAATAATAATAATAATAATTAATAATAATAACAATAATAATAATAATAATAACAATAACAATAATAATAATAATAATAATAATATTTATTATTATTATTATTATTATTAGCTTATAGGAAGTTACTGACCACGCTACACGATTAACGTGATGATGAGGGGAGAATCACAAATACGACCATGTCTATGTGCAGAACTCGAACCTGCAGGCTTCTCGGCGCAGGCGACGTCTGCGCCAAGGGGCCGACTTTATTTATTATTATTATTATTATTATTATTATTATTATTATTATTATTATTATTATTATTATTATCATGATGATGCTGATGATGAGGGATGATGGTGATGGTGATGAGGGGTGGCGGGCTCACCGTCGGCGTAGCTGGAGCGCAGCACGCGCGCGAAGGGCGAGCCGCTCATGCCCCACGTGGGGATGCGCAGGTTGTTGCAGGAGGCGTCGAGGCGGCGGTACTTGGCGCGCGGGTCGCACGCGTCGGGCCGCAGGCACGGGAAGGGCTCCACGGCGGTGGGCAGGTGCGTGGGCGGCGGCGCCTGCACGGCCACGGCTCCGCCCGCGCCCGCGCCCGCGCCCGCGCCCACCTCCGTGGCGCAAGACGCCAGCCCCGCCATGCACAGGAACTGCGAGAACAGAGCTGCCCCGCGCACGCGCATTACGCCGCGACCGCTGCCTCTGCGCAGGGAGCCGTTGCGATGTCCTTGCCCGTTGGAACGGTAGGCTCGTTGTCCTGGCCTTATTCCGGTGGATTTGATCGTTTAGTTGCTCTGACCTAATTGGGAGTAGGAATGATCGTTTCGTTGTCCTCGCCTAATTCCGGTTGGAATGATCGTTTAGTTGCTCTGACCTAATTCGGGTTGGAATGATCGTTTCGTTGTCCTGGCCTTATTCGGGTGGATTTGATCGTTCAGTTGATCTGACCTAATTGGGGGGGTAGGAATGATCGATTCGTTGTCCTGGCCTTATTCGGGTGGACTTGATCGTTTAGTTGCTCTGACCTAATTCGGGTCGGAATGATCGTTTCGTTGTCCTGGCCTTATTCGGGTAGATTTGATCGTTTAGTTGCTCTGACCTAATTGGGGGTAGGAATGATCGTTTCGTTGTCCTGGCCTTATCGGTGTGGATTTGATCGTTTAGTTGCTCTGACACTAATTCGGTTTGGAATGATCGTTTCGTGTCTGGCTAGTTCGGCTGGATTTGATGTTTGTTGCTCTGCCTAATTGTGGGTAGGATGATCGTTTCGCTTGCTCTGGCCTTATTCGGGTGGATTTGATCGTTTAGTTGCTCTGACCTAATTGGGGGGTAGGAATGATCGTTTCGTTGTTCTTGCCTAATTCCGGTTGGAATGATCGTTTCTTAGAATGATTGTCCTTGCCTAATTGAGGGTGGGAATGATCGTTTCGTTCTCCTTGACCAATTGGGGATTGGAATTATCGTTTCGTTGTCCTTGCCTGATTCCGGTTGGAATGATCGTTTTGTTGTCCTTGCCTTATTCCGGTTGGAATGATCGTTTTGTTGTCCTCGCCTTATTCGAGTGGGAATTATCGTTTCGTTGTTTGAAATTCGAGTTGAAACGTTACAGATAACCGTAATACTTGTCTTCAAATTCCAGCTCGTTCGATCTTTAATAACCGATTCGCTTTTTGAAATTCGGGTTAAAATGTTGGCTGATAACCGTTTCACTGTTCTTTTCTAAAACGAGATGAAATGTTTTGCAAACGTTTCGTCCTTTGGAACTTGACATAAAACATTTGTAGATGACAGTTTCACAGTTGTTTTAAATTTAGAGTTGGAACGTACATTAATGTCCGTTTTACCGCCCTATCAGATTTGTAGACAGAACGTGGTTGATAACAATTTTATTTTCCTTTAAAATTCGAGATGAAACGATCATTGATAATATTTCACTGCCCTAACCAATTGCGAGTTGAAACGTTCGTTGATAGACGAATTACCGTATTTTCGATTCAAGTTGAAATGTTCGTTGAAGGTATAAGTGTTTCACTATGTTTTACAAATTCAATTGTAAACCTTTGATAACGGTTTCATAGTCTTCTAGGAAAATTAATTTGATAGTTTTCCTTTTTTCAATTAATGTTTTCTACAGATCTGTAAGATCAACAACATGAAGTTAACAAGTAAGCAATTCAGTGTACACGAAAAATACTGAAATGCAGGCAGGCCCAGGACAACACTAAACACGCTCCTGTCATAAAATGGTGCCAGTCAGGCAGCCGAATAGCACACGAATATTGTGCGTGCCACGGAGCACGGCGCATTTATTCGGTTCTATCGAGTTTGTTTCTTTTGAAATTCATATGTCGTCTGTTTCGATTATGAATATTCTTTACGCGTTCGATGACCTATTACTTTGAGCACCTAAACGACAAAATCGCTGTATTACCATTAAGCGAATTTATACGGCTAAATATCGAGCCTACTTAGTATATCATTGTTACTATTTAAAAATCTGCCAAAACAGTGAGATTAAGTTGCACATAGCCGGCCGTTTTCTGTCAAGAATTTTCCTCGTGCGGTCGCTGCCACGTAAAGTTGAACAGGTAAATAATAAGATCACACAGTACACCTAATCATCTCTACCTCTTTTTCATGGGTTAAATTAAAGTTAAGCGGTTGAGTAGATGCACTTCGTATATCGTTCCCCACAAACTAATCCATAGTAAATCTAAAAAAATGTCCACGCAACTTTTAACTTTTACGTGATATCGACTACATACTATCTATTCATGTCCCCAACAACTGGAAATTGCTTGTCTCCTAATGACTTTGTGATACGAAAGGGGAAAAGTGGCTGTTTCCGAAGACTTTTGCGACGTTGGTTATCTTCTGGGGCGACGAGTAGGCCCGGCGGGGTAAGTTTCTTTACCTCAAAAGCACCGTTGCCGCTGGTGAGAGAAATCCCTCCCCCAATGAAGTAAAACCACTAGTTTTTTCTAATTTAATTTTTCATTAGTGACATAAACATAGTATAGAACACCAGGAAAGTCTCTCTGTAGTGGAATCTTGCGGGTGAGAGTGCTAGCAACAGAATTCATGTTGGTAGCACAAGCTGCAGTTTGTAACCACAGAAAACATAAATTGTGTAGTCAGCACACTCATAATACATGTTGGAAGTGCTGTCCCCTTCACTTCTTTCCCAGTTACCTCATTTCTACCAGCAAAAATGCAATTTTTAGTAGAAGGCCCGGACTCGGCTCGTTGCGGAGATACTTTCCTGGCGCTCTTGACTAAATCAACCCATCAATATCATTAGGGGTAGACGTATGATAGTCCTGATAAGGCTGACTTCTGTACATCACAGTACCGATTAAACAACGTTATCGTCTGCAACACATCGAGACTTGGACCTCCTTAAACTAGACGAGTTATTAGTAAGATTTATTGCAACCAGTGACTACCGCAGAACAATATGTGGTACAATATGCATCATGAAATTCGTAGTATTTGAAATAGGTTGAGATAATTCAGTAATAATTATGTCAATTTAACTGTAACTATTTTTTCGTGTTGATTTTTTTTTTTTTGAATTTATTGGCAGCAAATTTATTGACCTTGCAACACTACTCGCGTTAGGGGTTATGGAGGAAAACTAATTCTCATAAATAATCACTGCAATTGCGTAAAAGATAAAAATAAATTTAACATTTCAAACACTCTTCAGTTCTTTTTATAATGGAAATTATCATTTATTGAGTCAGAGAGTGATGTTTTTAATGTTAGCAAAAAATGTTTTCTATAATATCAAATAACAAATTACATATCCAAAACAAAGGTACAAATAGAATGTAGAAAATCAATGTGACTGATGTTTTAACTGTTTATTACAACAAACGTAGCAAGGAGCGTGTATAATAAATGTAACCCCTTCGTCAGGGGTTGCAATAAGTCTGAGCCGAGTAAAGGCCTCCCATTAAAAAATGATATTTATATTCGTAGCAACCAAATCACTGAGGAAAAAGTGAAAGGGAAAACAATTCCAGCATCTGTTATGATTGTGGGGAGTATGCAATTGACGTTTTCTTTTGATTCAAGCTGCAGCTCGTTCTATTAACATAGTTTCTGCTACTAGCACTCTCACCAGCCACAGGGCGGAGAGACTTGACTGGCGCACTATATATGCATTCTCGTACGGTCATAAAATATTTATACGAGTATTTCGGGAGTGAAATAATTGTTTCTTGCGCGATGGAGACGGAGTTCTCTTGGAAATACCGATAGGTCGAGGATTCGAAATCAAACCCACTCAATCTCGACCGTGAAAAAAATCACATCAAACACTTAAGATAAAAATAATTATTTGATTACACGACGGGGTACTAAGAGTTTTTACATTTCTCCGCTACGTATGCGTGAAGTTAGACGTTTTATAAAGCCTTTGAAAAAACGTGGCGTCACATCATAGCACAAAAATATCTTTCTTTTTCGATTACCAAGAGGAGTGGAGATGGAACAAATTTTGTTTCGTAATAGTTTTATAAGATCGTAGAAAAGAAAAATGTTTATAAATCGTGAGCGAAAATAATGTTTCTTGCACGGACTCCATTGCCCCTCTCGATCTGATGGTCTAAAAAAACGTAAATCTCTATTATGCAAAAAACAATAATTTCACGCACTTAATATAAAAATAACTATTATAATCTCTTAAAGCTGTTATACTATCTACATCTTTTCCATTGAATACAGTACGATGATGTCAACGGCAATGGTTAATGCTGTATTTAAATTCGAATTTCACTTCTGTCATAAAATGTAAAGCCGTATGTAGAAATAAATAAAAAAGCAGTGACACTTCTTTACATTTTCAGGTGTTCTACATCAAACGCGCTTGTTAAAATGTATTATTCGCTTCAGATGCATATAATGAATATTCTTATGAGGAAATAAAATAAATGTCCTCTTACAAATGACACAAGTATAACTCACCCATGTCTTTCACGTCTGTGGTAAACTATGCCGCAACCTCCACAAGCCCGCTTGTTAACGAGTATTCAAATACTTCTAGAGAAACCCGCAGTTCCTGACTTATACTGTGTGACACCTCCTCGGATTGTTCTCGTAAATTAGTGTTCAATGATAACCTACTAAATATGCCTATCAGGTACAGTTGTTTACAACCACACAATAGGCTTTCAAGAGAAGAAAGTGTTTAGACGGCAGGAGGGCTCGAAAACTCGTCAAGTCGCGTGATTGTTCTTATTCAAAACATGAGCTATCGCAGTCCCTGTTAATCGCTAGACAAAAAAATACATCACTAAATGTGAAAAGCGGAAGAAAGTTAAACTGGCATGCGTAAATTATCGTGAAGAAGGAAATTCGACGTTTTTGCGAAGTTTGGCCACTGATTTGAATTATCTACGGTGAAAAACCGGAAATGGGAATTTATAACATTTTGTTTCATCTGCATTCTTGGGTGACGTGATTTCGACGGGTATTTGTGACCATTCTTATTTAATCTGAATGAAATCTGATCAAATTCTAAAAAAAATATACGTAAAAATATGACAAATTTTACTTTTTAAATTCCAAATTTGTTTTTTGTCTTTTTTCATTCCTAAATGAAAACAAAATAAAAGTACACACTTTTCAATCACCCATAATCTTGTGAATCTTTAATAGCATCATTAAAAAACCGGGG